GGAAATTGAATCCAGTTCTCCCACTCCTACTCCCCCTACATTAATACCTTGACCATTGGACTGCTCATTTTAGGCTTTGAGTCTCTTGCTCTACATTAATACCTTGACCATTTTAGCTCATTTTAGGCTTTGAGTCTCTTGCTGAAGTAGTTTTAGTGCATGACAGAGCTTCTGGGAAGTGGCCAGAGGGAAGATGCTTTCTCTCCCCTAAAGTGTTTCCTGCTTGGCTTGATGCTGCTTGATCAGGAGACACCACTCCTTGCTGGATGAGCTGCCTTTACTTCCCCCCAGTCACCACATTATGGAAAAGCCTTCTCTGCTCTAGCCTTGAGAACACCTTAGAAGCCCAAGCAGTGTCTGATGCATTTTTGCATCATGGAGCAACTGCTGTCTACCTAGAGCTCTTCTGAATTGAGTTCAGAAATGCAAACCTGTCCTCTCCTCTTCTGTGGATTCCTCTGTGCTCGTTAGGAACAATCCTGCTGGTGCTTTCTGGGTTCCTTCTCCCTCAATATTGTCACTAATCAATAACCTTTCTAAGCAATCTGGTGCTACCAGGTAAGGAATGGAACTCACCATGGCTGAAACTGCCCAGATGCCAGCTCATGGCCGGCTTCACCAAGGGCCCTCTGAGCCTCTATTGCTGGCAGGGAACAGTAATGAAATAGTGACTGAAAAACTTGAAACCCTGACTTTGACACAGGATCACACACACAGACACTTGTGTGGAGGAGGTTAAATGCCTTAAAGCAAACAGATCCTTCCAACGAGAGGAGGAAAAATGCCAGCCAAGAGCACCAGTAGGGTTCATGATCACTATTACTATTTTTCTTGCTGTCTGGTCAGCCTTAACACTCCCACATATTTCTCTGTAATTCCTTGTAGGGCTGCTGCATGCCAGGAATAAAATCCACTTGTTTCAGTCATTATCTTATTCATCAGTGCCTACCTTTCCTCATGGCATCTTTACATTGTCTTCATCTAAAGTGTAATTAGTGCTAGTTGTTCCATAAAGTCAGTTTTAGAAAAACAAGTTAAGACTCTGCTTTTGTTTCCTTCCAGCCCAAGGGGCATGTTCATTTGGGAATCCTCTGACATAGTCTGTTCCTTTAATAGATTGCGCATGGAAGTGAACAGCATCTGATACTCTTGGCTAGCTAAAAATAATCCAGCATGCAACACTGGCTACACAGATGAAGAATTCTGTGTAATGGGATAAGAACAATGTCACTGCCCAGGCCAAAGGAGGAACTTCAGTCCTGCTATTTATTGCTGAAGTAAGAGAGCAGCCTGCTGGGGAATAAGGTTTGTAGGGTTTTGGAGATACCTCAATTCCAATGCTGCTTTGGCACCAGTCACAGGAAGAATATGGACCTTTTTCTTCAGCTGGCTTTCCATTACGTGAGCATACCATTTTTCCCATTGACCTACAGGTCTTGGCGCACCAACCTTTAGCAAAAGTTTTGGATACTCCTGTAGGTAGAACAGTTCTTAACCTGCTGGGTCCCACTCATAGGATGGGTGCAGATGAGACCTTCCCTTCTGTGGATCTTTAACTCATTGACGGGCCTGTTGTTGCTGTTGCTGTCTCTCCTTTTCAGGCAGAGAACATGCCCCAAAAGGAGCTCACCCAGCGCATGCAGCGACCAGGAGGTTAGTGCTAACGGCTTCAGCAATTTCTGTTTCTCTTTCGCATTGGCTTTTGCGCTGCTTATCTGACCATGTTTACTGGGGCATGTTCTGAGTTGTAGACTGGGATCCAGAACTCTGCTGTCGATGTCAATGAGCTCCAGCTCGTGGTGCCAAGTCAGGAGAATGAAAACAACAACCACTCTGTGAGCCGGGAGCAAGCGGGTAAGCGCGGCGCGTCGGCGGGAGGCAGGCAGGGCATCCCAGAGCCTGTTGAGCAGAGTTTCCTCCTTGCTCTCCTCCTCCCTGCCTTGCCCATGCACAGCTGGGGAACATTTCCCAGCAGAAAGCCTCCGTTGTGGGAACTGTCCCTTGCTTCTCTCAGCCAAATTAGCACTGGGAGGTAATTCCCCTGGCAAGGAGCAGGCGCAGGCACTGCTTCAGGACCCTGCCAACAAAAGCTGTCATAGCACATGACACTGCAGAGACACTGGGTTAGCAGAGCGAGAGCGTCTGGTTCAGGCTGCTGCAGACACAACTTATCCATAAATTATGGAAGAGTTTCTTCTGCCCTTGTCTAACCTTGTCTGGAAAGAGTAAGTTTTACAAGGCCTATATAGAGTTTGAACAGTTCCTGAAGCTAACTTTTCTGAAGGACATTGTGAATGAGACTGCTTTAGATGACATTTACTTCATGGTACGTTTCTAGAACAAGTATAGGAGGATTCCCAAGCAAGCTGCAGATAACATCACTTACTGCAATTTTGAGCCACAACACATGAATTATCAATGCTTCTTCTGGCTGGTGAGGCCAACAAGGAGGTACTTCCTGTTGTGCTGCTAGATACCATCAGTTTCCCACTAAACCATTAGCCATTAGACATAGCTCTTAAAAGGATGTCAACCTTGACAGTTTGGCATCTCCTTTGAAAAGGTCCTTGAAGAGTTTGTGGCCAAATCTGCAAGTTCCTGATCTGCAGGATCACAATTTGTGTTTAGAATGACAGATTTTAGTTTGGGTCTGTCTGTATTAGAAAGCAGATGCAAGGGTTTGGTTTTGTTTTTAAAAGCTTGCAGTTTCAGCAAAGCAAACTGTTGGCTTGAATTTTGTTCTGATTGGTGTGATAGCAAAAAGCTGTTCTAGATTATCTGGAGACAGGGAAAGCAGAGGGGAGTGGGTTTGCTGGGGGTAAGTTGGGATCAGATGTTTTGGACTCCCCCAAGTCTCTATTGATTTTTGTCTCTCAGTCACTTCTTGTGGAGGCAGCACAGAACGGTCTCCTCAGGATACCGATCCGGACATGCCCTCCTCCACATCTGCAGTGACCACCGAGACCGGGAGCGATGAAGTGTTTATTATTTCGGCTGGACCTGGGGCCAGTGGGCTGAGCTTTACCACTTACAGAATACAGGTAGGAAAACCTCTGACCATCTCTGGGAGTCCTGTAAGCCACAGAATGTCCCTTTTGGGCTTCCCCTGTCACATCCCTCTCTGCTTGCTGCCCACTTCACAAAAGCACTAGCAATTGAGCCAGGTAGTTCCTCCTGGACCCCAGACTGAGCTGCCATCAAGTGACATGGACTGTGGTCCCCACCAAGAGCCAGGATCCTCCTGGCCAAGAGGAGCAAGCCAGAATTGTTACCTGGATTTTAGGGATCCAGTTCTATCAACAGGCTGTAAGATTAGTCCACAAGAAGCTATTAAGTGGCAAAGATGTTTCATTAAAAGTGTCACCTGTGGTGACTGAAGGACTTGGGAGTCAGAACTCCACAAGCTGCTCCTGCCTGTCCCTGCCACATGGCCAGGAAAGCTACTCATCTCCTCAGTGTGTTAGGAAAACATTACAGCTTTTTCTCTTACACTCCTGACCAGTTATTTATTTGGAAATGCATTAGGATGCATTTGCATGTTTGGAAATTTTACATCTGATTACTATCTCTTCAAAGTTAAAATTAGTGAGTAGCAGAACACATTCAAGTCTATATTGAAGCCTTTCCCTGGTCAATACTCTTTCTTCTTGACTGTCCTCTCTATCTTTCTCCCACAGGAGGGAACATGACAACCAGTGCAAGAACCTTCCTGCTCTGGTACTTCATAATAGAGTTTCATATATCAAGAATCAATATAGTAGAGAATCAGAGCTTGCAGAACAAAAGCAGCCTCTGTCCCTCCACCAGGATAGGAAGTTAGCCAGGAGGCTACTGGGCCAAGAGTTGCCTGCGCTACTGCAAACTGAGTGCTGAGCTTTGCCTGCACCCAGTACAGTGCTTTATAAAAAAAAGGAAAAGAATTAAAAGCAGCTCTGGCACCCTCTCTTACCCAAAGGTCTTACCTTTCAAGTAGCAAGTATATAGGGTACCAAATAGGGCATCCTTAGACACCTGTACTTTTTAATGGTTCTTCCCAATGGGCAGGATAGGGGCTTCACTAAGTAGTGACATACAAGCACAGCTTATAAATAGAAGAAAAACAGTTTCCTTCCTCTCCCTTGCTCCCCTCACTTACATCAAAGTAGCCAAACATAATAAAATATAAAACATGACTAATTTGCTGACCTTGCCACAAGTAAACCAGAAGAGAATAAATATATATACATATATAATGCTGAACTAAATAAATATAGTGTAAAGGATTAAAGTGATTTACCTCATTATTCCTCAGTCCAAGATACAGCTCAGCACCTCCCAAACAAGCCACTTAAAGGGCAAAAGACCTGCCCAGGCAGGCAGGAAGGCCACCTTTAAAAGCACTAGGTCTTTCAGCACAGCTGCAGACTATCCTATCTGAGTAGTATGGCAAGTGCAGGCCATTCACAAGCCTTCTCTCAGATAGCATCCCCTTGGGCTACTCAGGGGTTCTGGATGTAAGAAATAAATTTGAGTTATATTAATGTCTATATTTGTATTTTTGGCCTGTAAAATGCATGTGTGGGGAGCTCTCTCAGATAGCATCTCCTTGGGCTGCTTGGGTTACTCAGCGGTTCTGGATGTAAGAAATAAATTTGAGTTATATTAATGTCTATATTTGTATTTTTGGCCTGTAAAATGCATGTGTGGGGAGGTGAGCCAGCTCCTGAGCTTAGTCTCTGAGTGCTGTGGAGGGTGTGTGGCTCAGCTGAGGAAAACAGGATGACTTATCCACTGGAAAAGAGCTACTTTCTTGGCAGGAGCTAAGAATTTATTTTCATGTGTAAAGAGGTGTGGAATCTTGAGCCTTTACAGTACAGCAAAATGAGAATTTTATTCTGTGGAAATAGCTAATTTCTTGTCTCTCTGCCCATCCTTTTCCACCATGATGTTTTAACTAAGTAATTCCTTTGATTTTCAAAAATTTGACAGCTTTTGTTTATCAGAAACAACAAATGACAAGTTTCTGGTTTCCTAAGATGTTTAAATCCAGGCAGACTATGGCATTTATTTCAGACCATCTTTAAGGACTATTAAAACTTAGGGAATGCAAGTTTTGCATTCTTCTCATGACAACCATAGTCACACAGCTGAAAATTAAAAATACATATAGAGCTGTGGCACAGAAGGCTTATACAAATAACAGGTGAAGTCTTAGTGCAAATGAAGGATTTGTAGGACAATGTGGGATTCTTTAACTTTCCTGTCTCTAAAACCACATCAATGTTAAGAATCATAACTATGATTCTAAGTACAACATAAGAACATAAAAATAAGGACAGAAGGGATCTGTAGACGTTATCTATAGTTCATTCCTATATCAGATCAACTCTGCTAATAGAGACAGCTGCTAAGTGGTTTAATGTAGCCTGCCCCTTCAGTTCTGCCAGTTGTACACCTGTCTACACATCTTGCTCTACTGCCAAAACATCTTTTCCGCCTGAAAAACATTTCTTTAACATGAAAAGAAAATTTCCCTGCTTCCTATGTGGGCCTTGTACCTCTTATTCTACCCACAGTAAACAAAGATTATTTGCTTCCTCTTTATCATTGCCTTTTACTTCTTCTTTAAGCTAGACTAAATGGCACAAATTACTTCAGCATCTTGAAGGATGGTCTTTTATTTTTTAGATTTCTGATCCTCTTGCTGCTCTCTTCTAGATTTTTTTTTCCACAGGCCTCATCCTTCTCCAAGTGTTGTTTCCTCCAGCAAATACAGCTGAAGCTTTGCCAGAGCCGAGTTGAACAGAGCTGTTTCACAGTGAAGTTTGCTACTCTAATCCTGTCAGATATATCCGCTGTAACAAAGCCGTAGGTGTTTGAGGTATTTGGTTAGTGAGAAGGGTAGGATTTTGTTTCTTATATAATTGAAAATTCCCGAGACAAACAGGTAGAAGCTCCATTCTCATGACTTGAAAAAGCAGCACTGAGGGAATCAGTCACTGGCTTTCATAGCATTACTTTCAAGGGTTTTTAAAACTTTTTGATGAAAGCTGTTGACAAACTTGGTTATTTCCAGGACAAAAACCTAAAGAGAAGCGTCACAAGTCCAGCCTCTGTGTCCGACTGGCTGACTTCTAATCACCCGGCTACCGAAGCAGACGCTGGTGAGAAGGGGCACGTCCAGATGGAAAACCATTACCCCAGGCAACGGACGTGGAGCGCCCGCACTTTCCATGATTTCCTGGCTCCGATACCACAGCTCCAGAAAAAATGGTGTAGCTGGACTACCAACAGCCCCTTCACAAAGCTGGTCGACAGCAGCGTGAGTGCTAGGAGGGGTTCAGCTCCGTGTCCCTGGTGTCCCAGCTGCTTGCAGGTCGGAGGCATTCGCCCCTTTCGCCTGGGATTTGCCTCTGCAATCTGCAAACAGGCTACACATTGTGGCCCATCTTGCTTGGCGTATGGGAAACTCTTTTGCCTAAGTATATTGTAATTTATTCAGGCTTTCCTGAAGTGCTAAGAAACCGCATTTCCCAGCAGTTAGTGTCTGGCTGAGAAATGATCAACCGTACAGAAAAAAAATCAGAAAGTGCCTTCAGGCTGTATTACCTTGTTAAGTTTTCGGACGTGTTCCTTTTTCCTAGTTGTACCGTAAATTTATTTAATTCACTTATTGCTGTTGCACTGCAAGGGATCAGTAGGTGTGGGAGGGAGGTATAGGTCTCTGACTGTAATGAGCAAGCCAACAGAGCTTGCTATTAGCTTACAAAGCTAATAGAGCACGTTTCTTGTCTTGGGAGGAATAACACAGGTTTTTGCGAAAGAAAACATTTCAATTCTAGCATAGCAAGAAATTATATCATTTAATTCTGTCAGGATCAAAAGAAAACTGCTTTTCAAGGCATGTTTACTAATTTCTTATAATTTTGACAGGGCTTTCCTACAGCTGCAAGAACCCCAGGTGTCCCCACCAGAAAGGTTATTTCAGCCACTGAGATAGAGGGAGCTTTAGAGACAGTTTACTCTGATTCATCTACCAGCAATGCCTCCTACCCCCTCACTCTGTCTGCACAACGGCAGCGGAAGCTGAGCTCCTGCAACCTGAAGAAATCCAGGTTTGGGAATCCCTGCTTTGGATTTTTAACCAGCTCCCCTGACAGTAAGCACGTGAGGTCCTTGGACCCTTCAAGACACCTCGGAGCAGTATCTCCAGTTAATAGTCAAAGCCCCAAAAATCTTCTGGAAGGTTCCAACCCCCTGAAAACCAACTTGGTCAATGGTTCAAAAACAAAGGAGCTCATGGTAGAAAGAGAAAAGAACAAACCCGTTTTCGTTATTTCTGAAGAAGGGGATGATCAGCAGCCTCTGGTCCTAGCAGAACATCTTAGTCAATGCGGAGATCATCTGTCGGAGCAAAACGCCCCGTGTGCTTCAGCGAGAGCCGTGCTGGACAAACAGCCAGCGGTTCTGCCTGCCCAGGACGACGGTTCTTCCGCGTTCACGTCGGAGCTGCCTCTCTGGGCAAAATCTCCTGCTTTATACAAAGGCCACGTGAAGGCCCCTAGCTCTTCCGAGGACGAGCAGAGCTCGCCAGCTGTAGATGCTGTAACTACTGAGACCTCTCCAAACTTCAGTACTGTGGCTGCTCCCACACTATGTCCAGCGTCGGTCCAGTGATCTTCTTGGAAAAAGCAGCGTATCGGTTCACGAAACAGAGGCGACGGGCACGTGGCTGGAGCAGAGCTGTGTGGAGTAGCCGAGAGCGGCAGTTATAGATGGATGCAACTTGGGGCTTTACTACCCACCAGTAACTTGGGATTATGAGTGTACATAACATAGCACAGCACAAACACCCTCTTCCCTTATGCTCAGTAACCTCAAATCTATTCTCATGCATGTGATTATATGTGATTTCTACAGGAAAGCATCCTGGGAAGATACTGCACACTGCAGAACATCTTTTCTGGAATGAGAGTTTCTAGTGATTTGAAATGGTTACTTCATGCTGAAATGTAAATCAGACCCCTGTCACTGTGGTATCACTTAAGCCTTTCTGTTCAAAGCTATGAGTTAAATTCCTGTAGGAATGCCTGTACAATTCAAACCTGGCCTAGCCGAGGGTAGAATTCAATCCTGCATGTTAGTGTACAGTTTTGTAGACTTAATTTTAACAGTTCATAATTTCTGTACTCTAGCACAGAGTTTACCAAACATCAGCATCTAACATTAAAGACCATAATTATCTCGTATTGTAACTCTTTAGAAAAGTGTACAGACAAGCTGAGCAACCCCAATACTGACTGTTAGTTCTACTAGGAAAGCCTCACAGTATTATCTTTGCTAGATATACATAGGCTTAAAATGCCTCCGTCCACTATGTGTTTTTTTTTATTCCTCATGGCAACAGGAGCATGTGTACATAAACACTGAAATACTCTCTAGGAATTATCTTCAGCATTCAACATTTTGATAACTGCAGCTGCTCTGATACTCTATCAGCCAGCTATTTATTGCTGGTAACGCACATTGCTTAGTGAGCTATTTTCCTTTCTTTAGCAGACAAGACTTAAAAGGCAAAATAAAGTGGGGCAAACGTGAGTGCTCACGCTCTTTAAAAATGAGCTACTAAGTAGCTCTGTCACCCTGATTGCAAAGCCAGGGCATTCAATGCAAGACTGAACCAAAGGGAAGCCTGCTAGTCTTACTGCTTCTAACAACTAAATCAGTATTTTAACTGCCTCCTGGTGATACTCTCCCACCTCTGCAAGCAATGCCTGCATGCTCAACACAGGTCTGAGAATTATTTTGCTTTCTTAAATGGCAGGAACTTCCTCTGGAGCTGTACTATTGCAGCTGACATATGATATTGTTTTAAAGCAGTAATATGTCATGAAACAGGTGTCAGAAAATTTCATATGAATCTTCCCCCACATTAGCTAGACCATGAATCAAGAGAGTTATCTTAATCCTTCTATAAGGAGGCATTTAAGTCTGATTCCTGAAATATTTAACTGAATTATTTATGATCTCACCTGCTGTTATAGCTTCCATCTGCCACCTAGTAATGCCTGAAATAGGCAACACAAGATTGTAGGCTTTGCCTAACTCTTTTTTTTTTTTTTTTTTTTTGCTTACATGTTGATGTAGACATAGAAGCCTTGCATCTGGTAATGGTGGAAGCAAACACATATATGCCTTCCAGCAGTTGACTCAAAAACAAACAGTACACACAAGTCTCAGTGTTTATTGTTACCAGACTCTGCTTAGCAGATTTCTGAAGCACAAATGTTTGGCTCCAAGTAGTTGTTGTTTTTTTTTTTTAAATTAACATTACATGATTCAAAGGCAAGAGTTAATATATTATGATTATAAAAATATATTTAGGAATCTACAGTACTCTAACTTCCACTGTGTTAAATTCATACATATTGTAAAGCAGAGTCAATGCTATCTTACTTAATTCTTTTCTAAAGACCACAGTACTAAATCTACTTTTGAAAAACATTTGTGTTCAGTTATTGACAATAGCCACCTTTGAAGAGCTGGGGAAATGTCCTTTTTTCAATAAAAGTGTGTTTAACTATTCATTTCTGCAACATAAAACAATCATTTTATTTTGCTGAAAGACTAAACGGTAAAGGCATTGCCCCAGAGGACCAGGGCATCAGGACTAGTTACTTACTCCTTCGCTGTCAGTTGTTGCGAAGAATTGCGTCTGAAAGCTGCTGCAACATTCAGGCAAATACCCATCATTGAACCTCCTTCAATCCACCTTTGCCAACAGTGTAGGGGCAAGAGGGAAAAAAAACCCCTGTATCTCCATATATGTGTGCTTGTATCTCCTGCTTATTTGCTTTTTAGTAACCAACGTAGATAACGAGGTGCTTCTTGACACTGACTTCTCTTACTCCCTATATTTGCAACCAAAGAGGAAACTTTCTAAACCTGGGAAGGCTGCTGCTAGAAGCTGGTTTCCGTGGGAACTTGGTCTCCCTTTCATATATGCTTATTTTGGCACATTCAGTAATATTCTATGCCACTCTGTCATTGCCTCCTGTACCAATAGATAGACATTTATATCTGAGATACTACACAGGACATCAGCTATTACCAAGATACTGAACAATGCTGCTTACTCTCAAAATAGATTTTTTTTTCCAAATTATTAAAAGATTATGTCTTATGCCACTGAAAGACAGAGAAATCTAACTGAAATACATAGTAGATAACCAAATTCTAATCACCAACATTGGCTTTAACAAAGAAAATGCCCTCTTCCTTGGTGAAGCCTGAGCAGCCAGGAATACAGCGTGCGAGAGGCTCAAGAAGCCCTGACTTGTCTCCTGAAGTACCTACTTTTCCAGGCACATCATTAAGTGCTAGAGAAGTATTCCTCGTGGAATGAAGTGCTGTAATGCTCTCAGCTGTAAATACTGACCAGGATTTGTTTAAAAATAATAAATATTACTTATAGCCTTTAATTTGTTCCTAACAACTGCGTTGCTTCGGAGAGACATGCTACCACATTTTCTGATAGAAAACCCCACAGCTCACAGACACTGGATCCAGTTCTACCTTTGCAGTGATGCAGGCAGTTTACTGTGCTAGTTTGCATATGGTAACTAAGCAGCAAATGGGATAAGCATGCTAAGCACTTGCTGAAGAGGAGGAAAGTAATTTCAATCACAATTACATGGGAAAAATATGTCTAGAAAATGTTATGCTGACAAACAAGGAGTATTACTTTCAGTAAAAGTGGACTTAATGTTCACTTTTTAAGAATTTTTAATTATTCTAGAATATATTAGGCACTCCCTCAAAACAACATGTTATGTAGATTGAATAGGACATCAAAAACTCACGGGCAAGTCCTGTTCTTTTTGCAGACAGCTTGAAACTATACAAGATGACAAGGAAGCTCTCTGCTAGGTTTCTTACTGACAAGTATTTAAAACTACTGAAAACGTGGGCTCGACGGGAAAACCACGCAAAAGGTTGAACATACAACTAATGCATCCTAAGATGAAGAATTCAGAGCAGCATTCAGCACGAGTTTGGTTGAAGCAGAGTATTGTCTTCGGTTTAGGGAACAGCTGAACTACCGTCACGAGACTGATTAGGAACAAGAGTGGGAAAAAAAAAAATCTATTCATAACTTGCTAGCAGAAACATGAACTGAGGTTTCCTTTCAGACATCTGCCTTTAAAGAAAAGGCAGTTGGTTACAAAGCATCCTACTCTTAACTGTTTTTTCCCTCACGTGGAACACATGAACAAAACACATGTGACTCCTTCCCAACCTGGTAAATCTGAACAACTAAAGCTGCATCGGGGTTTCAAGGGAAAAGAGAGGTCCTTGGCCAACACTTACCTAATGAAAGCAAACAGATGAAACTCAGCAGCACCGAAAAGAATACGCAGCAGAGACCAAAAATAACTTCAACACATATTCATGGTCTGTCTAGAAATGCCTTTGATGTTAAACCTCATATGGCACACTTAGTATTTTTTATAATTCATTTCCTGTGGAAACTAATGAGCTTAAGAGTGAAAATTACCTCACTGGAAGTCAAAATGAGGAAGTGTGAAGAAAAGAAGGATGACCTGAAAAGCAGATTTAGAAGCAATCTTTGCATATTAAGCATTGCTGTGGGAAACAGTGTAATTAGTTTTCTTTAGAAGTTATTCTCTGGAATTGTGTAAAGTGGTATTTCAGCTCCTAAGCATCATGCAAAAAGAACACTAGATAAAATAGGTGGAAAAAATAAGAAATCCCCTCACATTCTTTTTTAAAAAGAGATCCTTTCCTTAAGTTTCAGTAACACAAAGACTGATGGTTTATTTTGTGCAGTCTGCACTCTAAATATAAAGCCCCTTTCTAGCAGAAGAAATCATAAATAACAGATTATTTGGAGTTCAATTTATTATGGGCCATTCTCTTTTCAAATGCCTAACAGTTCCTACTTATGAATCACTTTTTTCCCTAAGTTCTTGCAGTGGGCTAAATCATTTTAAGAATAGAAATTGATACAAGATAGATATTCTTTTATTTGCAAAATAAACTAGCTAATCATTGAGTGTCAAATAGCAAGAGTTTCCATTAACTTCAAAGAAAGGCAGTATTAGAGCTTAAACACAAACTACCGTCTACAGCTGCTGATTCAAATAGTTGAGACACAAAAGGATTCTCAGATTAGCACTGACTGCTGATGCTGATTCCATTTACACTATTCCATTTACAAGAGACCAACTCTATTTTGTTTTTCTCATAATCATGCACTTCTTCCATAAAGGTTAAAAAAAGGACCATAAGCTCTAGGAAGCTTACATTGTGCCAGACCCAATTACATGGTGTAAACCAAAATAAGCCTTCTACATCAAGTTAGTTACAAGCTCTTTGGTGACGTAATGGTTTACAAAACATTTAAATTCATCAATATAAATGCAAAGCAAGTCAATACCGTTTCAAGTTTAAAGGTCTAAAGGTTTGTGTTTATGGCTCCCAGAACAACATTGTATTTCCACTTCTATATTACTTAACTCTGAATCGGAATTTCTCTTCAGTGCAGTCTGAAGAACAAATGACAGCTGGCTTAAGAACAGCAGTATGGATTAATTACAATATTAAGAGTTCTATTTCCAACTTCAAGTGTGAGAGCAGTAACAGTGCAAAAAAGCCTAGAATCCTCATCTTCAACTTAAAGTTACAATCAAATGTGGCATAACTGATCTCAAAACTCAGATGGGAAGGTTTGTCCAAACCCTATTCTATTTACTAAGCCGGGGAAAATTAGCTATCTGCTACATAAAGTTCTAATAGAAGCCATTTGAAATTCTATCATTTATACCTATTAATCACTGAAAATATGTAAGCTATGTAGACTCTAACACAATATGATAATCACTTTTTCTAGCCTGCTGTTGTAAGAAATTTTTAAATATATTATTTTTTTTTAAGTAAGCTTTTTAAAAATTAGCCTCTTGAAGCCATTTTACTTAAAAAAGCTATTTCTATTTGGATAGTTTTTATGTTGTATTATTCATTTGATTTAAATCCCGTAAAGATACTGATCATCTTTTCTGATATCATCCAAAACTAGTAAAGAAAGGTTGAGACAACTCCATGGAATGACAAGAGTTGTGTTGTTCACAGTTACAAGTATGATATTTACCTGTAAAATCCCAACATTAACTGACAATTTAACCAAGCCTTAGAAAATATCACATATATCTTTTTCTGTGGTGAGAGAATACACCACAGAAGAAAAGACAAGGTCAGTGAAAAGCTTTTTTTTTTTTTTTTTTTTTTTAATTAATAACTTCTTAGTTCAGGAAAAAAATAAATCACAAAAAGAGAACTGGAAGAACTACGCTCCACCTTCTTTATAAAAGAACTTTCTCAAAGAGAGAGACTATATACTTGATTCACCACAATGTCAAACCCTAATCACCCTGGTTTTCACAACATCTATTCTACCACATTTCATGCTCAGCTTCCAAATATCTCTTATAAAGAAGGTGGGGGTGTGCTTTAAACAGGTTAAAAATATGCTGCACCTTTACAGTATTTAAACAATTACACCAAGCATAGTTCATACATTTATCACATTAACTATCACCTGGCAACCATACATTTAAAAAGGTCTAATGTATAGAGTATGTAATACCCATGAAAGATACTCTTACTTACTTAAGAGCATATAAAGATCAGGATTTATTCACCCTCCCCATCTGCAAGTTAATTTCTCATTTCTTCCTGGTACAATATAAATGACAAACAAACAAAAAAATCCCTTCATTCCATTGCACTACCGCAACCCTATATGCATAGAAAGGCAGATTAATTATCTGTAACGGGTAAAAGGAAGAGGGGTTTATAAAAGGAATTTGAAGAACCTCTACTGCACAGGTAGTTTAGATGTTAAGCACATTATTTTTTTTTCCATTTTTAAGTCACATAATACATCCCTATACAAACATAACTTGAGTAAGTGCAAGCGAGGTTGTACATAGTACTGTAGACATATTATTCTTGACCAACAAAAAGAAATTCAGCATATAAGAGGCTTGAACACTAGCACAGTGACAAGTCTATGCTGAAAGCCCATCTGGGGTGTGGGAAGTGGTGAGTGAGAATGCAAAGCACATTTCTGCATATAATGTGCAAAGGCTCAGTCTCCACAACTGCACTCAATTTGCTACATGCACAGCCAGAGATGAAAATGAGATCAAAAACAGCTGGGAATGGTTGTCCTGAGAAGATACAATACCATTAAAAAAATCTAAACACAAAAACACAAATACAGAAGTAACAGAACATTGTTAATAGTAGTAAAAGACAGAAACAAATTGTTGTTTTTAAAAGAAGTTTCAAGTATTATTCCAGCTCCAATTTCAATCCTACTTACAGGAGAAAATGCCCAGAGATTAGGAAGAGAAGTCCACACCAAAGTGTACTTTTAATAGCATACGGGCATGGTCAACAGACCCATCCTTGTGGCAGCTATTTTAGAAAATAAAAATCTAAAGAGAAATGCATCATTCTAATTAGCATTCATATTAACATGTGCATTACTGGAAATAGCTGTTTAATTCACTGACACCAGTAGACACAGTGTGCTGCATCATTTGTGCTCCATTATAACACATAGTATTGTGTGTACACTTTTTAATATCGAAGTATAAATCTTGTTCACAAAGTAAGGCATACTTAAAAACAACATGGTATCTACAGAGGTAACTTTGTATGCTTTCTTCTCGTTCTTTTTCACTCTTCTAGGTACGACAATGAAGAAAAATTGGTCCCAGGCAAGTGAATGAACATTAACTATCAGATTATTATGAAACAGATCAGACTGCATTTTTTAAATGATGCTTGGGTATTTTCCTAAATGAGCTCTGCAAAAGGTATAGGAATAAAATCTAGTTTTATGGTGCTGTCTTTTGTTTTTGATACCAGTGACACCAGTGTTCTCCCTCATCATTCCTAGCCCTAGTCAAAAACATCTCCATGTTGCTACAGTTTGACCATACTGAATTATTTCCGGTAAGATTGTTCTTTTCAGTAAAGCTGCTATATTCTGTTTTAAATTATAGCTTTTTCTACATTACCAGTGTACGCATGCTAGAGAACAGCTGCATGGCAGAGGTACATACTTAGCACACAATATCAAAGAAAAAAAAGAATCAAAAAAAAAAAAAAAAAAGAACCAGTGTGTCCTACTGGCTGCTCTATGTCAAAAGCACTGTTTGGTCTTCTGATATAAAATACTACAGAAGTGATATTAGCAGAAGTCTGTTCTGCTTCAAGTATTACCCCAACTTTAAAGGTGATTTTCAAATTTTTGTGCAATTATTTCTGTAATTTAACAAGAATAAAAACATCAACACTACTAATCTAAGAAAAGAAACTGTACTTCTTCCATTATAACACTACACATATGGTAGAAGCTTTATAGTTGAAACAGCTGTTTAAATGGACGGAAAAAGAAAAAACTTTTTCTTTTATAAAGAAGAGATTAATGTGTTTGTTGTTTAAATGGAATGAGTAGTGACAAAAATAACAGACTACAGCAAAAAGCAGTTATGAATATACACTGACAATTTCCTTCTTAAATATTAATGGCTCTTGAAACATCCATCAGTTACTTATACAAAACATTTCTACTTTAAGTCTAAGGATTTTTCTTAGTTTCTCCACAAGTAGTGCAAATACACTCCTTATTCTTAGGTCTTCCCAAGATATGGCTGGTTTTTGTGTGCGTGAGTGTGTGTGTGTGATTTTTGTTTGTTATTCTTCTTCACTGCAGTGATACAGGAACACTGTAGTCATGAGGATGGAATGCAACGCGTGCTGGACTTTCTTGAAAACAGAACCAAAAACCTACCTTACTCACATACAGCTGTAAAAGTCTACAAATTAAAAAGTTCACATCAGATTATCTGATGCAAGAGTTATTGATTCCCTGCTAGGGGGAAATTGAGAAGATCCCCTGAAATCTTAAACTGTACAAGCAGTATTATTGTTTTTTGCCCCCTCCTTACAAACTGCAAGTGTTCAGTTCTTGAATCGTGTTTGTTCACAGATGTGATTGAATTTCCTGAAAAAAAGAAAAAGAAAGTATTAAAATGTAACAAAGTTCTCAGAAGTCACACAACACAGAATTATTTTAAATGTTAATCAGTATGAAGCAGAACATTTACATGATAACATACCTGTTTTTCAGAACCTGTGTAGGCCGAAATCTACCACCAGGTTATCTATAACAGGATTTTCAGCATCTCCTCTGCCTAATCCTTATTAGTGATATTATGCACTCAGAAACCTGTTATTAAGCCTTCCTCTATACTTCTGCATACTTCACATCCAGAAAGCAATTAAAACAGGGCATCCAGAGAATTAAATTTTGCCCTGAGACACATTAGTCATTTTTTGTAATCAGCATTATACAAAATTGCTGGGAACTAGTATTAACCAGGCTAACAAACACATTTCAGTATGAACATGTTCTTTCACAGGCTTTGACTCTTCTTCTGGAAGAAGGATAAAGGACAGAAAGTTTTTCCTCACTCTGTATTAATCATGTTCCACGGGAATGGCAAGAATTACACAGGTAACAAAATTGCAAAGACAACACAAAACTCTGTAGAAAGCACTTCTAATTCTCAAAAACTTCTCTCCACTCATTCTTCATTTTTTTCTTACTTACCTCCTAAAACTTAACTGAAACACAAGTTAAGAACTGGGGTGTTGAGTGTGTGCCTGTATATATACATGTGGAAGAGATGACGCAAACGAAATCATGAATTTTAGTCCTCTTACTGAATCAGACAAAAGATTAGAAAGAAATCCTGCTTATGCAACAAAATTTCTTAACAGAAATTTTAAAAATAAATAAATAAATAGAAATACTGATCATCTAGAAGTGATCCAACAGGATTTTTTGGTTTTATGGATTTTTGGAACTAACAACAGCAGCCAGTAAAGTGCTAGAAACAGACAATGCTTGAAGAAAAAATATACCAAAAACACTTGCATCTTTCCCATTCTGGATAACAACAGAATTATCCAATATGAACAAAGACTATTGGTACATGTTTTCATGTAGAATTAACTCTCTTATTATCAAAATAAAATTTTCTCCGGGCACACAACACTAACTTGAATTTACAGACAGCTGAATTGCTTTGAACTATTTCTGCAACTTAAATTACAAATTAGTTTTGAAAGATAGTTGGCAAAATCCTCTGCAGTTTTAATAAACTGGGGATGAATCTTTGAAAAGTCTTATGACCTGCTTGCATGAACTCTAAAGGCTAGTTATTTCCAACTCACAGTACAAAAAATAAGAAAGGAATTATGCTGCATGCGTTCATTGCAGCATTAGAAAGGCAGTGCAGAACTTTCTGTTCATTAAAACAATTTCTCGGTAAGGTGTAACAGCTCAGTCAGGTATGGCACAGCAAATTTAGAGGAAAACACCTTGATTTTTTAGATGCACATTTTCTGTGAATGTCCACATACCATAAAAGGACTAACTTTTTCTGTTATTGATCAGGATGAACAAAGCACCTTACATTCTCATGGTTTCATGCTGCAGTAGTTAGCAGACAAAATGGCAAACTAATTCCTGATTTCAAAAACTTTATTTTTAAACTACCCAGTGCCACTAACCATATATGACCAACACAGGAGCCCATACCCCCTAGATCTATTAAAACACCAGAGAAGTGAGGGTTACAGTCATCTTTTCAGGCTCAGAACTTCATTTTCACTAGGTACCAAATTACTTGGGTCAAAGGAATAAGATCTAGAAAGTCCTCCAAAACGGGAATGGGTAAGCTACCCCAGGTTCCTAACGTGTGTTCCAAGCTCTCCTGCTTCTTTTGCTGCAAATTATTCCCACCCATTTACCCCTTCAAGGTCTGCTGCACTTTACTAGAGGAGTCTCTCTCAGGACTTCAAAAGGAAATAGCACAGGACTAATTATTGTACGTACAGTGTACTTAAGAGGCACTCAGACATAAGCAAATAAGAGCTGCTTCAGGGGGAACACCAGGAGATGAGGGGCCGAGGGAAAGGGTTGGAAAACAAGACTCAAGAAGTGTCAGCCATGGGTTACAACAACTTACAAATGCTAGTGCTACCTTTTTGACACTTGTAAAGGGCTCACTTCAAAGTTACATAAAAAATCCAAAGGTCATCAAATTCTGCTCGTGGTACAGCAGCACTTGTCATCCTTGAGTTATGAGCTACAGCTTCGTAACTACTTTTCTAGCCATGGATTTTTGGAACATTAAGTACTTTAAAGTTTTTGGTGTGTGCTTTCTTTAAAAATATAAAATAAATTCTAAATTTTACAGCTTACATGGCATGATGTGCTTTGACCTGAGTTCGACAGTTGCGCCCCCAGTAGCAATCAGGACGTGATGTGACAGTCACTACAAAACAAACAAATGAAGGACTACATTTATTGTAGAAATGGTTAAATAAGGAAATGTAGATTGTTAAGCCACTTCTAATGGCTTGCTAATGCTAATACACATTACTCACCAGAGCGGGAGCTTTTTTGTAGAAAAGAAAGAAGGCAAGATTGCTAACAAACTGTAAACTACACTGTTTTACTTTTCTAGGTTCAAAGCAAAAAATAAAGGAAGCAAAATTCTTTCTGAATTTCAGACTCAAACAGAATTAAAATGAAACAATTTGGTTCACAGGGCCCTCAGTTGGAATTTTACTCTTCAGTTCAATAGAGATGGACTTTACAGTTTAAGACACTAGGCACATGCCTAGATACATTTCCCTATGAAAAAGACTGATGGAAGAGTTTCTATAACCAGTGTATCTGGAATTGAAGGAGGCTTAGTTGCATTCTATACTGCCACTGTAAATATAAACAGATTTAGAATACATCTACGAAAACATCCTTGCTCCTAGCTGAGAGCTGGTAAAACATGTTCAGGAAATGCATAATCTTACATATTTTTAAAAAATAAAAAACTACAGCTCTTGTTGACTGTATTCTGTATTTTACAGAATTCCTCTTTTTAATATGTGTATTTACTGTATGGATGAATAAAACATACTGAAGAAAAGAATCTCCATTATCGAGCCTAACAATAACTATGTGCAAACTTCACAATTCACAAGTAAAACAATCTTGGTAAGATAGTAGCTCAACAAAGACATTCCACTAGGCTACACAAAGGCATTAAAAATCTCTCTGTTAAATTGGGGATTCAAAAGAAAAACTAAAAACCAAAAAAAAAAAAAAGTAGCATCTCTTATTTAAAGCTAAGGCTTGAAATAGAAGACAGAAGATAAAGCTGTTTTTCCCTACTGTATAAAGACAGACAATTGACCACCTGGTAATTCAGCAACAGGAATATTCTGCCTGTACTGGTAGGCAAGCTCTCGAAAGCTGCGAAGGCCACAACAGTAGCAAAGCACCGTGTTCCCAGTAATTCTGTAATCTGTGGAGAAAGACATTTTTACATAACATTAGTAGAAGGCTTAAAAAGTCAGCTCTTGTTATGTATGCAGAACTTCAAACTTCTTTATAAAGATTTATATATAGCTAGAGAGAGACAAAAAATGAACATAATACAGAAGGGACGTACCTGACAGCATAAAAACTCCTCTTTGAAGAGCTAACAGACTTTCATTTAACATATTTTTCCATGTCAGACCCCTGGATGCCAGGTAATCCTGAAACAGAGCAATTTAAGTGCTTAACTGAGAAAAAAACCCCACAACGTTAAGAGAAGAAACCAAACTTGTCTCCCTCAGATTTTATTAACCCTATGTAGCTAGTGTTACAAAATGGAATGATGTTGATCACAAAAAGGAAACACCATTTCTTTAGCTTAATTAGCAAGACACTTTTAGATCACCAATAAAGCCTTTGATTTAGTACCTTTTGTTCAGACGATTCTACTTTTGCCCAGAAGACGTAGGTAGATTAATTTCAGTCATGCTCTCATTTAACTTAAATTAAGATTTCATCCAGCTTACCTCCTTCAGATAACCTAATTATGGCATTGGCAAAACATTACCCACACAACTAAAAGAGAAAATTAACTTGTCTGGAAGAAATAAATTGATGAGTCTCACTTTCCTGGTAGACGAAGTGAATGATTCTCCCCTTTCATTAATATTTTGGATGTTACACTTAAGATGGTAGAAACTGGCTTCCCTAACAAATACTCCATACAAGCAGAATTATGTGACAGCTTAACAAGCAAATGTATCACAGTTCTGCAGTCTATGTATGAGTCATTTAGACCAAACTAGAAGCAATGTCTGGAATTCTGTTCTTCCTGCCATCTACCAAACATGCACACTGGAGATATTAAAATTCTGGATTGCCTCAGTGTCATTACTTTCTGTTAATTTGGGAGGTAGAGTTGATGCTAATCAGAATGCATCTCTAGAATACAATGGCCCCTCCATACCGAGACTAGAAGATCCATACAATTACCCCAAAATAACTCAATATATATTTCCAGTCTAGCCACACTAACTATAACCTTGGCCCAGCTGAGCATTCATAGCTCATCTGATTTGCCTTTTAGAAGCCAGGTGCTGCAAGTGACACAATGCTGTCATTGTAATACTTAGGCGGCACATGACTATAATTACATGAGTTACTAACTCTTAAACATAATGTATCATACATAACGATTTTTACCCATACCTTTAGGATATCTGACTCATAGTGGTTGTTGTTTAGGACTCCATCTAAACACTTGTCACCAAGATTTATTTCTAATCAGGAGAGAAAAAAAAAAAAAGTTACTACTTCTTCCCCAAACCAGTTGGCCTTTATGCATTTTCTGAAGAGTTTTTCCCATCTCCTGAAAGCATGCACTCTCACTCATGTGAGCACCAACTACAGGACTGCATTCAAACAAGTACATGATACATAACTGTCGGTGGAACTCAAAAGATAAAACACTAAGTTTTACAGTTTCACCCATAGGACACAATCACAACTACTGATCTGCACAGACTAACAGTGCTGCTAAAGGACATTCCATTAGCTTCATAATGCAGCCTATTTTTTCAACTGTTCTAGCTTGTATTTAACTATACCTAAAAGCTTAAGCAGTCTATAAATTTAAGAACAAAAAGTTCTTTTTGAACCAGATAGCATCAGATGCTAAGTTTAAGTCTTCTTACAATGGTTTGTATCATTTTACTACTAGGCTGAAAGACATCATGATTCCTTTTAACACAGAAAGCACCATGCTTATCAAGTGAAGTTCTCAAGCTTTATATGGTAAGAAGACAAAAAGTTAAGTCTTCTCAAATCTAAGATATACACCCTTCAAAGATTACTTATATTTGCAATGTGAGGATACGGACTTTGTTCCCTTTTGCACGACTGATACAAAGTAAACTATTATATTTCTTAAATTACCTAAAGTTCAATACACATAGATATTATTGCAAAGTGAGCATGCTCAGAAGAAACAGATCAGTGCACATTACCACAGAATGGTGCCAGACAGCCAAAACATGCCATCCGAGTGCAGCCCCAGTACAAGTGACAGAAGGGTTGCAGACAAACTGTACCTGTAAGCAACACAGGAAAAACCTGTAAGGACCAACACACAGCATAACTCAACAGTTATTAGTCTTGTAAATCAGTAATAATAGAGTCCTACTAAACTGGTTAATTAAAAATACAAATACAAACAAACAAAAGCCTCCCACAAAATACAGTTTTCTCATTAAAAATAAATTCTAGAGATCAACAAATTTTGTAAAGGAAGATTCTTTCTTGCTGTGACTACAACTGTCTAAATAAAGAATATTTAACCTACATTTAGTTAAAAATAAGGAAAGATGTATTTGTATAGCCACGATTAAAAAGAAATAAAATAAATATACACACATTGCTGAGGAGCGACATGAGGATTCTGTTCGCGCTCTGCTCTTCGGTCAGGCATTGGCTGAAAGCAGCAGGTACATATTACATGGCTTCCTTGAGCAGGGCACACATATTCCTGGACAGCTAATTGGCAAAAAAATAGGAGATGGGGTTAAAAATAGACTGAACAATAAGAATATTAGCAACATAAAAATCAGAAAGCAACACACAAGCAATAGGTCTTTTACAAAAACTCTGCAAAAGAGCAAAAAAAAAAAAAAGTATGTGTAAATTATGTGTGCATGTAAAATAGTTGAATATATAAAACAGTTTAAGAACTACCAACCATTCTGGAAAAGCCACTGCCAAATTGGCAGATACTTGCAAAGGCACTTATGTGACCTCGTGATTCTCACATAGTACTACAAGCCTGAGCTCAGTTCACAGTGGTTGTTTTGAGTTTTATACTGACACTAACCTGCAGGGAAGTTGGCAGACGTAGATGGAGCATCTCCCAGAGCTTGCACTCCCCCAGCCTCTGTCTCTTGGCCTGGGCCAGGAAGAGTAGGAACAGAGTGTCGTCGATAGCCTGGGCACTGTCTGCAAACTATATATGGTTGGCTGAAAGAATAAAGTCATAGGAAATACTGCTCAATAAATGCAAATACGACTCATCAACCTGTGCTAGAAAGGGTCAATCATATTCCTGAAGTTTAAATTTTGTATTTCTTCACTCAGTAATATATGGAAGTTTATATAACACAATAACAGAGAGTTATCATGTTTGCCATAGTCATAACAGACAAATAGAAGCCCCTTACAATCAATTGTGGTATTTTCTAAATATTTCTAAAACAAGAGCAGTGTGACCGGAAGCAAGAGGACCTCTTCCCAGGATGTACAAAAGACTTGTGTACAACTGATGTGCAAGTAGACTTAAGGCAGCAAAACAACATAAGATTCAAGGGGGTATGAGGACAGTAAAGGGAGGCACAAAGCTGTAACAATCACCTATAGGAAAACAAAAGGTTTTTTTCTGTTCCTCTCTAGATATAAAGCAAAAAGTTTCTGCTGCTGGAAGTAAAGCTATTCTGGTGTCTGGAAATCCTTCAGTAAAGCACTGGTTGCTCCAACAGCACGCATCTAGCGAAAACAGCATGCCAGACACATTAGCATGATCACTGCAGCGGCACTCATAAGGTCATGGACTGCTTTAATTCATGCCGAAATCTTAGCCAAAAAAACTGTTGCCTCTAGGGCAACAGCCACAAAAGGTAATTTCATGCATCTCATGTGAAGCTGTTGTACACCTGAGGATAGAGTTCCTGGTCTTAATGAATCTTGCTGGGCTTCTAGGGAGTTCTAATTTTTTTGTTGTTGACTGCTCAAGGAGTAGCTGAATGGCCAACACACTTGCCAAGATAACTACCGGCAAGAATGAATTTACTTGAAAATGAAAATAAGATAATGATCAGGGAAATAGAAACAGCAATCACATGCATGGGATGCAAAAGTTGTGTTTATGAAACTAGCCTGCTTTGTGATCTTGCACATTCGAACGTTGGCAAATTAATTCAGTGCCCCATTTAAAAGACTATACCTGATATCTGAAGATTCACTATCAACATCTGACAATTCCAAGAGATCCTCAGAACTTCCTTCCTCATCTGAAAAAGATCTCCGCACCTTAGGTTGCAACATATCTTGAGTAATTTTGTTTCTAGCATCCATGCTACGCACATCATCCTCATTACGACATTTATCTGCAAGAGAACCAAACTCAAAAATCAAGACAAAAGGATTCATTGCATCTGTTCTCCGAAGGAAAGATCATGATGCACAGCTGCACAGCTAATATCTGAAATGCATCAGATTCTGTTATACACACTGCTCAACTTGCCTGGATGCTGAATCAGATAAGCCTCAACCAGGTTGTTCAAGATGTGGTTTTTACAAATACGTTCTACTGGACAACGACAAGTTGGACAGAGAGAAGATCTTTCCATCCATCCTGAGTAGCAGGCAGCACAGAAAGTATGCATACAAGGCTGCAGGCTGGAAAATACAAACACGAAATCAGTGAAATAAATGGAGTCAGAATCCAAATCTTTCATTTTTTGTATACATTCGTAACACTAAGAACATATTTATCATGTGCTTAGATAATCAGGATGCAGCTGTGATGCATCCAACTGATTCTGTCCATATGGATTAAACAGAGAAAAGGAAAAGAATAAATAAATAACTCTGCAGGACTTGTGAGAACACAGGCTCTTCTGGACTCCTCCTCAAACAGCTGTCATTCAACTTACGTTTTTCTCACACGATTACGACTTTTGTCAGTCATACATACCTTACACAATCATGCAGGAGTTCTTGGCATATAATGCAAGTTAATGTTTCTTCCATCTTATCTGGTTTTACATTCGATGTTTTTGCATCTTCAGAGCCTATTTTAATTATACATTCACTTGGTGCTGCTGCTGGAAGATTTGGACAAGCTTCTTCATCTATAAAGACAGAATATCCCACAGATTATAGCTTTCAGAAAGGTGGGAATTTTTTGCAAGTACTAAGAAACAACCTGAAAGTTACATGGTTCACTGATAATACATTTGCTAAAGGTTATTGCTTTGCTCATATAAGTTTTTGCTATGGAAGTCATAATTTTCACTGGACCAGGAATCAAGTAAACAAGAAGCAAGAAACAAATCCAGACAGGACTGGCAACGGCTGATCTGAATCAATTTGAAAAAGAAAACACAACATTTTTCTTTCCCTTTTTAATCCAAGTACTACAGAACAAAATAATGCTGTGAGGGGGAAAAAAATATGTATCCAAAATGAAGGCACCCTTTAAAGCCCTTCTAGGTTTGGTAGATTTTAATTAATTTCATATTAATAATGTAAAACGAGCACAGACTCTTATGGTTTGCAGTCTCACTAGGCTTCTGTGAAGAAAATGGGCATAGCTGTAAGTTTATAATTGTATTTTTAAACTATCTTTCAACAATAAGATTTAAATAGAAGAGTGTACAGTAGGCTGCTGAGTACTGTAGTTACTAGCCTTCTCTTAGTTTCTTCTTAGCAGGTTCCAAATCTTCCTCCTTCTCTTCCTCTTCTGTCCTTTGCGAATCTGATTCTGTTCTTTCTTTGTCACCAAATTCTGAAGTGACTGTAGAAGTTTCAGTGTTTATATCCAGCTTTGTGTGTTCATCATGCATTGTTCTTAGACACACAGATTCTAGGATGGAGAAAGCAGGGACAGGAGTGAAAATTGAGGACTGTGATCCTGCAAAATAAAAGCAGAAAAGATCATCATAGTTGTGTAGAGTTATGGGGCATATAAATATAGCAGCTACTCAAATCCCAATGATGCATACACACCAATGTAACCCTATTTAAAATCTTCACTCTTATTTAAAATATAGAATATGTATTCATAAGACTATTATCCACAATAGGTCTTGCCGACAACAATGTCAGGCAGGGGATTTATACAATTTTGATCACATAAAAGTCAGGAGAACAAGAGACAGCCTGTGATGCTAGAACAACTCAAGTGCTAATTTCCATTTTCAGAGGAGCATGTGGAAAAAGCTCCAATGAACTGCTGACAATTCCATTTTCCAGATAACTGTTCTGGCTGCAGTTCTATTGAAAGAATTAAGCAGCATTTGGCTAGTATACTCACTGATACTACACAGCATATAAGACTAGGGTTCCATGTGATACCTTTTGGCCTCAAAACTCTAAGCAAGGGAAAGGGAACCTGTAGTTCGGCAGCAGCAAGTGACAATTAAAACAGTTTCTCAGCAGAGCTACTGCATGAGTGCAAACATTCATATCCCGTTACTCTGCTACATAAGCCGTCAGTTTGCTAAGATTTCACTGGTGGGTTCTCAGTGCCAAGATATAGTGTAAGGACTGAATAGTTCTGAATACACATGTTTCTGCCTCCCTGACCATAAGCAATTCTCAGAATTGCTTTACCCATCCACCAGGATTTACCCTGTACAGTAACAGAGGAAGCTAAATACACATGTCCGCCTGTTCCTTTCACTAGGTCTTGAGAAGATAAATGCTGAAGACCTGATGGGGGAAAGTTACTAATCTGTTTCAAGTCAGGGTTGGAGTAACAGCTGATGGAATGTGACACAACTCTTACCAGATGTCGAAGGATTATCCTGCTCAACAGATGCAGACTCAATAAGAGAGGTAGAAGCATTAAAGAGGTTAGATGTAGAAGTAGATGGCTGTGGTTCCTCATAGCAAGACTGAGTAGCTGACGGTGAGGAGGTAATTTGGGTCTCATCATTACTTCTTCCTGTACTTGAGGTATCTTTGGTCACATGGCATAGGTTTTCTACATTAACTTCTACAGTTAGTGGAAAATAAAGAAAAGAAGAAAAATCTGTGTGACAATCACCACATCAGGGTTTTAAATGCAGGTTCCCTCAAAATTCCAGGGAATCAGACTCTTTCAAAAGAGTTACAGTGGTCACGAGAGCTTGGTTCCTCTTCTTGATTCTTGAATTACTTCCTTACCTACTGGTTCTTGAGTTGCATCATGCTGTGTGTTTAAGGATTCATAGAGATAAGCAACATCTGAAAGAGAAGACAAAAGAGATTGATCAAAAATTAAAAGCAAAAATTAACTTACCTCAGTCTCACACAAACAAATTCTGTTGACAAGTGACCATTTTCCCAATGTCTGACAACAGAAGAGGCAAATGAGAGATCATCTCCATAGTTTAATGTTAATATTCCTACCTAGGAGGCAATTAGAAAGAGCACAGCAAGATCTTTTCTTCTCAGCAAGCCACGCAGAGAAGCTTTTATGCAAAGTTTAACTTGAGCCAGCCATGGTATTAGAGGCTTAATCATTTCTTAAACCTAAAATCTGCTCTGTGTCAGAACAAACTGTGAATATTTTTATCAACATTTTTAATGAAAACTCCAGCAAGCAGCTTATTATTTCTAAGCTCACTTCAACTTTTTCAATCAATTTCATTTAGATTTCTTTGGGAGATACCTGAGGTCTCGAAATACAAATTAAGACATGTTACAAATTTCACCCAGAAACTAATTTGCTATCTATTAATAAAACAAATTGGATACCTCCTTCTCCACCATATTTCAATCTAATACAGTTCCAAAAATACCCCTAACTTGCTATTTCTTTTAATCTCCAGCCACCTAGAAGTATGAGATTCAGTTTGCAGCAGACCCTTTTCTGAACAGGAATAGTTGGCTTTAGAACTATGCAGATCAACCAAGTACATGACACATGTAAATTCTCTCTCATCTTGGAGAAAGTGTAAAGGGATATTAGCTACTTGCTTGTTCATATAGTTGTTAAGATGAGCAGAAATCAGTAACTCAGTTCATTATAAAGTACCTGCAAAATTAGCATAAATTAGGTCTTTTAAGCCGCATCATCTGCGATAATGCCAACTTAAAAGAGGATTCATGAGATATACCTGTCTGTCTGTATGGTCTAGCACATCATTGTTTCTTGTAGCATTTATATCAGGCAGCACAAATCTGTCTGATCTGTCTCTATAAATCAACTGTAACTTCATAAAAGGAAATCATACATCATTAGTGAGTATGTATATATCTGGAAAATTTTAGATTAGCAATTCATAAACTTTGACTGATGCATGAAAATTTTAAGGTCTTATGTATTTACATTAAGTATCATGCTACAGACTTATCCAAGACTGCAGCCAATGTATCTAGTTATCTTCACAATAATAGCTGAGCTTATGATGACACAAAGTCTGTCTGTTCACCTTGAAATTCCACTTCAGAGCTATCAAACAAAGTGGTAAGAATTAACATATAAAATTCCTCTTTGTGCTATTCTGAAGTCTCTTCCTGAAAGTGAATATTATCTACTAAAATTTAAATTCTCTACACTAAAAGAAGAATTGCAGGCTAATGGACAAAGCAATGGGTTGGGGCACAACAATACCTATGCAAAGCTGAGCTTCCTCTCCCCACACATGTAACAAAGTTGAACTTCATCTGTTATTTTACAATAATGAGCAACTAAACTTCCGGTATTTTTTCAGTCAGCTTGGCATTTAATGTTCCTGTACAACCAAATATCAAATGAAAACTCTTTCACCTCAGTACCACCACTTCTTATATGATATATGAACATCTTGAACATAGATACCACCACAGCTGATTTATGGAATCTTACAATAGAAGAAAATGAACAAAAACAGCATTTATAACTAAAACCCTAGCCCCTGACTTCTATCCAGTTATTAATATATGAAAGTACCCTAACTCCTAGTTAGCAATAGCTCAGCTTATTTAAAAGTCTTTGAGGGAGGACCCCCATTAAAACTTTTTGAAACCTTTGTGAAACCTATGTGTGCTATGTCATTGCATCATCCTTTTCCATGCACTTGGTGATTCCCAAAACAAATTAGACTCTGCGAAACATGATTTGTCTTTATAAAAACCATACTACCATGCTATCCTTCTATGATTTCTATGTCTACTTTTTATTATAGCATTTTCTTCACCCAGTTAGACATTTTGAAGACTATTTTGCAGCCTTCCTTCTTTCTAGTGCCAAAATTGTGTAAATTTAACATAAAGTATCACTTAACAACTCTGAAATTCAACTTCTAAAGGAAGTATTGGATGAATATAATCAGGGCTTTATTAGATACAATTCCAAGCAATATTTCTTCCAAAATAACTTTTAGGCACATATGTATTTCAGACAGTTGCTTAGACTTGTCCATGTGAAAATGGGCATGTCCATGACCTTTCAGCAAAGACTTGTTTTTACACTTTAACAAATTATTTCTGTTAAAATTGAGTAATTCTGTTTCAAAGGTACTAATGCTTCTTTTCTCTCATGACTCAAAAATGACTAAGTATGCCATGAAAAAAATATCATTTACTTACTGTTCTCTGGCTCATTTTTTCTGTAAACAACATAGATCACATCTCCAGTCTGTAAAGGGTATGTCTGCTTCTTAACCACTTTCAGTTTATTAATTATTGTTCCATTAGTACTGTAAAGAGAAAGAAAGACGATTTAGCCTAAATGCCTCATAACTACCTAGGAAGAAAGGGAAAAACAGGCTACTTTTAACAATGAAAATTGTTAGTTCTCAAAAAACATATAAACCAGGATCTAAAATTACACAATAACAAACAAACAAAAAGTCTGGCCAAAAGACTAAACTGCAGCTCTGCAGTTTAGTCCGCGTCAAAACAATTAGATGATTATTTCTGCCGAATAATTGACATCCCTTAAATGAAAAACAAGTAAGAACAACAGGCATTCTATTTCAAAAGTTCTAGGTTATGTTTATTAGTTAACACTGGGAATCTCCTAACATCCTGGGACAAAGGAACATCTCTTGTACAGTCAGGTACCAAACATCAGCATTCAGTTTTCTCCCCTCTTGCTTCAAACAGTGAAAAATTAATACTCCACTATTAGACTGTCTGAAAGTGAGAACACCAAGTTGTTAAAGCAGAAAAATATTTAGTCACATGTAAATATATATATATATATATGTATCTATATATAACGTAAGTTGGAAAGAATTATTTTATATGGATAAAAGCTGTAAAATTCATGGAAGAAAACAAACTGGGGGAACAAGTAAATGCAGAGCACTTCTGATTAATGGTGATATCTTTGCCCCTTCACTATGGGTGACATTTTATACACAAGGTATGAGTGTTTTATAAACAAATCAAATTATTCATATACTGAATAATTTCAGCTCCGTTGCAATAAGCCTCTTTCAGGGTTGCCGCATTCCAGAATTTCAGACTTCTGCCAGTCAAAACCTCAACAATTAACACTAAATATGAAAGAACAGCAAAGCTGCTTTTCTCCTCACAGCAAATCAAGCTTCTCATGAAATGACAGCAAATCTCTGCTGCCACCTCCTGGAGGCCACCATGCTTTCCCAGCCTTCCCCAAACTGACCCCTTTCTCTAGAGGAGAGGGAGGGATGGTTATTTAGAAACAAGCCCCATCCCTTCTCACCACTATTCTTCTTTTTTAAAGCAGCTTGACCTGGGGCGGTGAAAAAAAAAAAAAATCTTGTCATTTAATAACATGAAAAAGAGAATTTAAACTATCCCAAAAGGTCAACTGTACAAAGACAAAAGCATTGCATTTATAAAGTTAAAAGGAAAACCTCTAGACCAAGCACAGCAAGTCTTGATCAAGATACTGACTCTTCTTTTTCCCTGTACAACACCCTTCACTACATATGTGGATAAATCACAAATCCAACATAAATAACAAGACATAAAAATAAAAAGTCATCAAAGAAAATCTTTGGGTGACATCAATCTTTGCCCCATGAAAGAAACTTCAGGCTTCTTTTATAAGAAAACCCTTTCAAGTTTGCCTTTTTACCTTAGGAATACATGTATGGACTACCCTGAAGAATATAAGAACTAGAGAAATAACAGAATGGAGATGTCACCGAAAGTTAACAGCACTGGAAGTTTAGCAGTTAAGATTAAAAAAAAAAAATTCAAGCTGTTGGAAACTATATTTGTTTTTAAATAAGCATTGCTGCTAGTGATAATGAAGATGAAGGTATTTTTAAAGGAAGAAATGCATCTCATTCAATCATCAGCAAAATATTAATGCTTACAACAATCACTGAGACTGCTCAAAGATCCTTTAGCAAAACTAGGACACATCCAACGTGACACCCTTAGTATTTCAGATGGCAAAGCAAAGTATGCTTTATTGCAAAGAGTGTAAAAGACTAACGGGCAGCGGAATAAAAAGTCATATTTAGATTTCAGCTAATAAACAGAGAAAGGAAACATAATAAATCAAACTAGCTAAGGCACCTGTGTTATTCTTTCACTTATCTTTTAACATATATGGTGAAGTATGGGATTAACATTGCAGAGTTTTTTTTAAACCAGAGACATGACGAATGGTAATGTTTGTACATTTGAACATCTGATGTTTCAGACTAAAGTATGGTCCTCATAAATTACGTGGAAATTCCTCATAAATTAAATATAAAAGCCTTCCGCTGGTTCAAATAATATTAAATTGATACTAGACTGCATTATTTTGGAGGTGGAGAAGAAAAACTGTTGTATCAGATATATATTCCCAAGCCGTGAAACAATTTCACAGAAGGTCCTATATCACTTTTCTAAACATTGAAAAAAAAAACCCTCAGATCTTGACCCAATTCCAAAGTAGTTGATGACTTTACAGTTTGATTAATGAATCACACATCATCTTGACTTCCAGATCCAGCTGTCACACACTATTGTGTGTACGACACACTCAAAACAGGCTTACTTTGAAGCAAGTAAATGATCTGTGTATTGTAAGATGCTTTTGTATCCTTCCTAGAAAAATGCAAATCTATTACTTTTTAGTAGTTACTAATGCTCATCTAGGAAGAGAATGTAGCTTACAGTAAAACTTGTAGAAGTATTGGCTCAGAAGTTATCTGGTATAGGAGTATAGTATCCTGAACACACTGTAAAGTTAAATAAGTATTGAATCCTAATAAGTTAGGGAATTCTATCAGTCTCCATTCTTTGAATGGTCACAGAAATAGTGCATCTAGCGAGGTTAAAAAAAAAAAAAAAGGTAGCAAAAAAGGTGCCACTGGCACTGAAGATTCATCTCCTGCTTATCTACAGAAAGGGAACAAACAGCAGTCTTCCACATGACTATCTTAGTCTCATGCACAGAGTTGCATTTTCATTTTGAAAGAGAAATTTAAGAGTCTTAAAACGGCCTTTACTTAGGGCAAGCTAACTACTGGCTCAGCGGTGTTAGCTCTGCTTGCACAATTCAGTTTCTTTCAAGCAGCACCAAGGAACTAGGGCATGGTTTGGAAAATAAAACAGAAAAACAAAGGGGTGTGTTTGCAGAATATCCTATTGCACTATTTGCTAACTTGTTTTTTTTAATTATTGTTTCTAAACTTCTGCTTACTCAATTTTAAGTTCTCTAAGCACTTCTCTTCACTTGCATGCTTACGGCACTGCTTTCCAAACTAGAACCACGAACTCATTATGTCAACAAGGAGATAAGAACCAATGTTGGTTGTCTACATGCATTTTATAATTTTATTTTAATTCAGTCACAATAAAGAAACAAAGTCCACTCAATCCAGCTGTTACAAACTGCCTCCCTCGGTGCATTCCATTTCACCAAAAAAAATTAAATTAAAAAAAAAAATCTGAGCTTGACCACAGAAATGTTTCCAGAACTACTTTCCACGCCACAGGAAAAAAAAGCTGACACTGCAGTATTTTTCTGGGCATCAAGTACTGCCAACTCAAACATCCAAAAAATCTTATTCTTTCAGCCTACTAGACTCTTTGAATCTCAGCTGGTATTCCGAGCAAACATTAAAACTCCCAGAAGACAGTAAATAGCCTTCTGCAAGAAGTCTGATCAATCCCAGATAGTTTCTTTCTTCAGAAAATGGCAAGCGTCACACTTGATATCAACTCACCCACAGGCAAGCAGAGGACAACAATAACCCAAACCTTTTTTGTTAGATACACAGAAGTGTAACATGCTGAACTATAAGTAGTTATTTCACAGTACTGCACAGGACTGAGCCCTTCTATTACATTAGCAGAATAATAATTTCCACCTTTCTGCGAATGCATCATGTAGAAAATTAAATTAAATTAAATTTAGCTCTGCTAGTTCTCTTTCTGCTGGCTACACTTTCTTGCCTTGGAAGAAAGCAGAGAAAAAGAGGGAAAGTCACAGAAACTTCTGCATCGTTCTCAATTCCTTTTGTTTGCTTTATTACGACCTTACTTTAAACTATCAAATACAAGTGAATTAAACTAGGAGTGGTTTCAGAGATCCAGGTATATCTATACTACTTACTGTCTTTAGCAATGACCTGGAGGAGGAGAAGAAATACATCCTGAGTTCACGGATGACTCTAGGGGTTGTATTCAACACACTGAGAGCAGGGATGCTGTTCAGAAGGACCCGGGGAGATGCAGGAAAAGGTTGACAGGAACCTCACAACATTCAAACAGGAAAAATGCCAAGTTCTGCACCTGAGGGTGGACCAACTGTCTGCAACGGTACAGCCTACTGGCTTGGCTGGGGTCCTGGGGGACAGGAGCCCAAGTACAAGTCAGCAGTGTGACTTGGCAGTGATGAAAGGCTACTCTGAGCGGTACCAACACAACTGCAGCCTGATGATCAGGGGAACTGATTATCATTCTCTTTTACTTAGCACTCATTCACCCACATCGAAAATACTGTATCCTGTTTTCTATCACCTGATAGAATAAAGATGTTAATAAAGCCGAGCAAGCTGAACAGACAACCACCAAGATTGCCTTGGGGCTGGAGCACAAGACCAGAAGACAGAGGCTGAGGGAACTGGGCTTGTTTTGCCTGGGAAGAGAAGGCTTGAGGGCAGAGAACCTAATAGCAGCCTTTCAATAGCTATGAGGAGGTTACCAAGAAGGCATTCTCTCTAAGGAAGTGGCAAAGGTCATAAATTGAAACAAGAAAGGATATAAGGTATCTGATACTAACTGAGAGCTACCAGAACAATATAGTTAATTGCATTCTGATAGTCGAAACAGGAAGCGGCAGATATGGCACAATGCCCTTAAAAACATCCAAAATGAAATTTTCTCTTTATGTTTCTTCTCTGTGTTTGAGCAAATGCCTTCTAGACATAAAAAAGAGGGTAGCTGGCAGAAAAGTATTTGTTTCTTTACAGACTGCAATAACCTGGCAGAAAAAAAAAAAAGTGGTTTACTGAAGTATTTTAAAATGTCACAGAGTTCTTGAGATGCAATAAACCAGAAGCTTTCTGCACTCTTAGGCAAAAACTGTCAAAAATGAAGCAGATGAAAATTTGAAGAGAGTTACAGTCTCCATCTAAGAAATACCTTCTTCTTCAAATTCCTATTTCAGACTTAATAAATCTGTCTAAAAACAAACAAAAATCTACTGGAATGCACCCACACCCCCTGCAGTGCTATTTGTGCTTCCAAACTCAACTGGAAATAACCTCGCCTAGTATAGAAAGTTCACTGGCCTTCAATGTGTGAAGTAACATGTAATTAACTTTATAAACTAAAAGTAGTTCTACTATATTAGCTCACTAACACTAGTAGCAGTAGCGAGTCCCAGTGATGTGTGTGCTTAACTACTTTTACATCAAGAGTTTTATACACTACCTTAATACAGAAGCATTGAAAACAGGAAAGTAACCCCTTTGGTTAAACAAAACAAAACAAAACCACATAACTGAAATACCAATAGTCATAAAATAGATTTTTTTTTTAAATAAACTGGATGAATAGGTTCTAACCTCCACCTGAAGTGCTCACAACTGCTGAAGGACTACAATCCTTATAGTATACAGTCTACTGATGTTTCGAATCCTAAAAATATATAAAATATATAGAAATTTTTGTTCTATGCCTCTATTATGTTTTGGGATCATTACTGTAGATGTTCTCCTCCTTCTATGACCATCTGAAACAAGGCACACTCATGTCTGCAAAGATCTTTTAAGAATGCAAGCATCACTGAAATTTTTCTCAGCTTTTGTTCACAAGTCTAAGGAAATATGCTAGAGAAATATTACATACTATCTTTCATCAGAATTTTTCAGGAAACGGACTATGAATTCCTTCAAAGAGGAAAACAAGAGATTTAGGAAGTGCTAAAAAGATTCTAAATGGAAAAGAAAAAAAAAACACAAAGCAAAATGCATTTACTATTTATACCTTGAGCAACAGGCTAAATGATACTTCGTAGACTAAGATGATTAGAATAGAAGTGCACATCAGAACCAACCTTGTATCTTCCAATGACACCTGACCAGACTCTTCATCCACTGTGATTTTACAGTGATCTCCAGACACCAACTTGTTGCCAGGGAAAGATAAGTCACAACCTTAAAAAGAAAGTGGATTTTCCAGTGTGCTTTAAAATACACATTACACAGACAGATCAGCATTCTATTTGGCTATAAATGCACAATAAACTGACTCATGTACATCTGTAATAGTTCAAAATTTCTACTGGTATATAGGGAACACCAGAGTCTAGGATGCGATATATAAATGCAAGCAGTGAAATAGTCCCATGTATGGACATATGCTTGTTTCAACAATTTCAGAATATTTTAGTTCCCCCCCCCCTTTTTTTTTTCTCTCTCCCTTCTTCTTTCTTCAACTCTCAGTCCTTACAGTTCCTTTGCTGGTACAGATTAATACAGATTCAAATATATTTGGGTCAGGTAGTTTTTTTTGCCCAGATAATTGAATACTGTTAATTGAACTTCTGGTTCGTCTTCATATACTGGAGGAAAGTAGTAGGAATCAGCTGCTGAGAAGTACAAGGGTTTCACCGCTCTACCTTGAAGTCCTGTTTGCTTGTTTTTAAATAAGAGGTTTTCCTTACCTCCATTAACGCCACTGTTACATTACTACAAGTGAAGGGAAACTGAAAATTCAGGATGGATCAAGATTTAAGCACATGTAAGAGAAACATAATAACGATGTTGAGATGCTAGAGACCTTCCTACCTATTATTCTTGGGCTCTGAGCAAAATTAACATTTTTCCTTCACTTTAACATTCAAGGCAATGCTCATGGCTCCTTGTGCAAGACACTGAATTCTCTTACAGATGACTCAAGGTAACTGCTTCTAGAAGAGTTATAATTAACAAACATGATTCACTTCCACCTATTCACACTGTAGGTACCTTACACCTTAGCTTACGACAGTCTTATCCAGAAGTAAAACAGTAGTCACTACATCACAGTTGTTGGCAGTTTATTACCATCCTACTCCTAATATTCATAGGACAATTAACAGCCATAGAATTAACTGGTGCCGTACAGACTGTGACTCTAGGAAGCCTGACAAAAGTCAGTAGGATAAATTTTACTGAGGAGGACACCAGCATTTCCATTCTGCTCTGTGGAGTTGTCAGATTTGAGTAAGGGAGCAGGAAGGTCACAATGCTCCAAACAAGCCTTTCAAAGGTTTCTGAAGATTTTTAAAGTAATATTTATGAGCCAGAACCTGGCATTCTTGTACCTGTTCATTTTATTAATGCTAGGAAACATTTATGGAAGCAAATGAACATGGAGAAGTTTATCTTCTGCAAGATAACCCCCAACTGGATCTCACTTTGAAGAATTGCCCTACAGCGATTGCCCATACAACGATAAGTGATCTAGCATACATTATGAAATGTAAACAGGCAAAATGTTTTTTCCTACATCATCGGTATTTCTCAGACAGTAAGAGCATTGAGTGTTTGCTGAAGACTATGACTTTATTCTGCAATGGGTGAATCAGAGAGCTTAAACGGACAAACAGGAAACTTCAGGATCGGCGCTGCCAGGGCAGAGAGAAGGGGTGAGACTCCACGCTGACTGTTTAAGCAGCAGGAAGTAGGAAATCCTCTAAAATAAGGGCAAGTAGCAACAACACGGGGGGCATAAGGCTTCCAGCCGCCCTCCCAGGGACACCCTTCCAACACCGTGTGGCCAGGAGCCTCCGGCGTTTCCTACGGCGCAGCACGGGCATCTTTTTCCTGCAGCTCCAACTTGTGTTTTCCTTTAAAAGCCTTGCAAAGGGACCCTGGCACAAGGAGACCCCGGGGAAGTGGCCGCTGCGTCCCCTGCACTGCCCCGGAGGGCACGACCCGCAGAAGGGGTCGAGGCCGCCGCCAGACCGGGGGGCTCCCGCCCGGCCCCCCGCC